GTGCAGTCCTTGCCTTCGAATCTCTGTTCTCTATCCTGAATGCTAATGAAGGTGCTTTGCTGTCCCCTCTCCCATGAAAATGAGTTGTCATCCAGTTCCATCTCCAATGTAAATGAGATCAGGGGAGTTGCTTCACTCCTAGCACTCTTGTCTGGAGGGCTTTAGGTGCATCTCCCACTGCATCTTCATTGTCTATTGTAAGTACTTCCTCTAATCAGTTCTTGTTCAGGCAGAGGTAGGGAGGGGGTGAGTCCTTTGTGAGTCAGACAGGCTGTGTACTGTGCCAGGGCTTCCCAAGAACACAGAGCTGAGAGGTAACAACACCCACAGCGGAACAGCCAGAGGCCAGAGTGCTGGCCCCAGGCTCTGCCCCCTAGGCACCCCCATCCCACAGCCCCCATGCTGGGATGGTATGCAAAGCACTTTGTAAATAGTTTGCACAGGGAAGAGGGTATTTTCTTGGTGCGGGGGATGGGTGGTGGAGGGGCTCTGTATGCTGGGGGGGGAGCAGGGGCTTCTGTTCATTGTGAGGGGAATACACACTTGTTCTGCTCAGTCATGTCTGCAGTGAGTGTAGTATTGGGGGTGGGCAGAGGGGTGCAGAGGGTCTGTGGGCAGTGGTCCAGGTGGGCTACAGCGGAGAGTGCAGGAGGAGGTGGTCAGCCAGGGCCTCTCGTACCTGGTGATCTGGCCCCTAGTGGTGGGTGTGCAGCTCACCTGGGGTCTCAGCAGCGGGGGCATGCTGCTATCACTGCTGCTGCAGGTGGTGCTCCCACTGCTAGAGAGCCTCCATCCACCGCACCTCCTCCACCCAGGCCTCACTGAAGAGCTCCCCCCTGGGCCTCACACAGATGTTATGCACCTCCCCAATGAGGAGGGGTGGGACCATCATGGTGCCCAGCTGCAGGTCTGTCCTCCCCCACCCCCGGCATGAAGTGGCCACTTTACACCATGCCTGGAATTACAGAACACACAGGCATTGTGGGCACTGCCCACCCAGCCAGCACTCACATGCGTGATGGCACCACAGTGGCCCACAACAGCCTGGAGCACCATGGAGTGAAAGCCCCCCCAGTCACTGTGGGGTGGGCAGGTGATGGGGATGTGGGTCCTGTCTAGGGTGCCAATGCACTGAGCATGGAACCCCACTACCACTGCCAGGGGTCATGCACATGAAGCACCATGTACCCCAACATGTCCTGGAGGGTGCCACAGACCTCCAGGATGGCTTCCCCAGCAGTGGCTTTGCCCACCCCAAAAAAATGGCCCACATAGTGGAGGCCAGCAGGGGTGGCCAGCTTGAGTAGAGCAAGGGCCAGCCAGGTGTCTGTGGGGAGAAGCAGCCACATGGCGGTGGCCTGCTGCTCCAGGTATGGCTGGGGCTGCCCCAGGAGGTCCAGGAAAGTGGCCTTAGTTATTCTGAATACCTCCAGCTGCTCCTTATTGTCCCACATGCAGCCACCAGTCCTAGCTGGCCCAGAGACGGTGAGGCTGGAGGCCCAGGAGGGCGAGGGAGGCCCCAGTGGTGGTGTCCAGCAGAACATCAGTGAGTCCAGCCAACTGGACGGGGTCTAGGCAGCAGCTGCATGGCAGTCCTGGGATGGCATGCTGTGGCCAGGCAGGTGGTCACTACACATGGGGGAGCTGGGAGGACCCAGATGACCGTGGACCCGCAGTGGTCAGGGCGGTGGACCAGTACGGTGGCCAGCAGGAGACCAGGATGGTAGTTGTCACTATCAGAGGCAGAGGCTGGAGTAGCCATAGCACAGGGAGGCAGAGGCAGTGAGCAGAAAGCTGCCACATGCTGTCCCTGCACTGTGCATGCTGCTTCTCGCCATGGAAGTGGCTGGCCAGGGAGCAGAAAGTGGGGTTGCCTTTTCAAGAGGGCTGCAGGCTGCTGACTGCTGCAGCCAGAGCCTGGAGTTCCCCCAGTAGTGGCAGTGGTTCATTGCAGGGCCACAGAAAGTGGCAGCATTTTGGTGCTAAGAGCAGCAAATCTGTTGCCATGTCCCTGCATGTGTAGACGCCAGCCCAGGAGCATTTACTCACAAGTAGTTTACTTGCAAATAAACTGATCTTGGATCAAATGTGTGTGTAGACAAGCCCTCAGAGTTATTTAGGGATATTTCTGAGCTATTTACACTGCCTAATTGCAGGTCTTCAGTGCGCTGCAGTGGGTAGGACTTGTTTTCTTCAGGAGTGGACCCAAACATTGGAAACGGACAGTAAGTGCAAGACTTGTAAAATGAAGACTGAAAGGGGGTGTGATTGGTTTCTATAAATATATAAGGGTTAGGCTCCAAGGAGGGGAAATAGCTATTTAAGCAAAAGGGCATCGTTATTATACTATTATACAGGTATAAACTGGCCAAGAGTAAGTTATGGCTGGAAACACACCTCATCAAATACATCTCTAAACTTAATCCATTTGGATGTTTAAAAAATTATTATCTTTTTAAAACCTGTTCAATGCTGTTCAACACTGAGAAGTGTAAAGCACTCCATCTGGGGAGGAAAAATCTGCAACAAACAGGCTTGGTGATGCTATGCTAGCTAGCACCACATTCAAAAGGGACACAGGGGTCATAATTGACCATAAAATGAATATGAGCCACCAGTGTGATGCTACAGTTAGCAGAGCAAGCAATATGCTGGCATGCATCTACCAATGCATCTCAAGCAAAACTAAGGGAGTTATTCTTCTGCTCTACTTGGTATTGGTGAGGCTGCAGCTGGAGTACTGTGTCCAGTTCTGGGTGCCACACTTCAAGAAGGATGTGGAAAGCTTGAGAGAGTCCAGAGAAGAGCCACTTGTATGATTAGAGGCATGAAGAGCAAGCGTTATGAGGAAAGGCTGACAGATATGGAACTGTTCAGCCTAGAAAAGAGAAGACTTCAGGGGGACTTGATGGCAGCTTACAAATATATCAGGAGAGAGCATCAGGGACTAGGCAAACAACTATTCACCAAAGTGCCCCAGGGGAAAGTCAGGAACAATGGTCATAAACTCCTAAAAGAAGGTGTCAGACTGGCTATAAGGAAAAACTTCTTCATGGTTCACGTGACCAGACTCTGGAATAGACACCCAGTGGGGGTAGTGCAAGCACCTACTCTGGAGATCTTCAAAAGGAGGCTGGACACACACCTAAACTTTTGTGAATCTGTGAACCTCCTGGCCTAATGGTGTACTGCTGTATCTCAGACTTCTTTTGATGATATTTAAATGTGTGTTCTTTTGTATACTTCGTATTGGTTTCATGTTTTACCTAACAGTAAGAATTTTCCCTTTTCAGATAAACAATGGCTTAGCCTCCTTAATTTAACTTAGAATCAGTACCTGTTTATGTTCATATTAAAGGGTGTCAAGAATTATTACAACCTTAAGTTAATGTTTTAAGTGAAACTTCTCCAACCGATTTCTTAACTCTAATCACCTACCAGTATATATTTTTAAATGAAGCCACCCTATCTGAAAGAAGTACAGTACCAAAATATATTACTATCATTTATTGGGAGTGTAAATAAAAAGTATTGGCAATAGCTTATTCCTGAACATCAGGCAGGTAATATTTTCATTTTTCTTTATTATTTTTAATAAAATACTTCCACCATTTAACGCTCTCTCTTATCAAGTAGGACAACAATTGAAAGAACATGTAAGATAATTCGGTTATTTTGAGGAATGCGTTTCTAGTCAGTCATCTCCCATGACTATATATATCCACTTTCATGCTTCTGTTTTGCTTTAATCTTTAATTGTACAAAGTATTTGCTGAACAAAGCCATGGTTCCTTGCTGTGTTTTGCATTTGATATACAAGTTAGCTATCATCCCTTTAGTGGTACTGATTACCTCATAAGGCCAACAGCTTTCTACTGTATAGAAAAAAAGCCAAAATTTGTCAAATGATTCTTCTCTCAGGAAGAATGGTAAATGTAGGTGATTTAACAGACATGACTGACATTATAACATCTACAATATACAGCATTTTCACCAAGCGAAAACAAGTATTAGAAAACTAAGAGATATAATACAAAAGATATTATAAAAATGAACTGAGCCTTTAGAGAACTGTTGTTTTAATGTACTTTAGTTGGACAATATTCTGATAGGTCTTATTGGTTGCATTATGTATATTAAGTACATACATGCATACAATCCACCTCTGGTATAGGTATGATAATTATATAGAATAAGTTTTGCTCTTTCTTCAATCCAGTGATAAGCTCCAGCTTACTTGACAAACAATGAAAGAAAGCGCAACTGCTTTGTACTTTTTGTCACTTTACCCAGTCTGTCAGGACTGCTTCCAGCATTTGCAATCTCTCTACAGTTCAAATAACTGCCATTCAAAAACATTAACTTACCTCAAAAGCATTCATATAAAAGAATATTCATACTTTATTCATACATTCAATATTCTTTAGACATCCTATAAAGAATATTCATATCCATCAGTCACAGCTCTCCCACAGCTGAGAGTCTGGTCATTGGTAATTTGGGATCTCATCACCTTAAATACCTGTAGCAAGTGCTGCTACACTTCCAAGAGACACAAAATGAAGTGCTCCAGGTGTAACAAATGGGTGCCCCTCTGCAAAGCGTCTAGACTGGAGCATTATGTGCAATACTACAAAAAATAGCACTACAGAGAGGTTGATATTTCAGCTAGCATCTTTTCTGTAGTGCTTCTGCCATATTTGTAGCGCTAAGTGGGATATGTACATGAATCTGTTTGACTTTTGTAGCACTACAAAGGTAAAATCAGTCCACAGCCTAAAAGACAGATTTATGCTTGAATTATCAGGACTAGAAGCACAACCTTTATCTCATTCAGCTGGAGTTTCAGATTATTCCCTGAAATGTATCCACATAACTGTAACTACACATACTCACCCAAAGACTTTTTCAGCTGAACCTATTGCCCTTGATGGTCTACAGTGCACCAGCTATTAAATGGTAAAAACTATTTTAGTGATACATAAAAAAAAATGTAGAAGGCTTTTTAAAACTTTTCAGTTTTATTCCAACTTTCCCCAAAGCTTGTATCATAGCTACAGCAATGTGTTTTTTAAAGGTTGAAGGAAATGAAAAATATTCAATAAAAAAATACAACTCTAAAATATCGTCTGAACTAACATCTCTAAAATACAACAAAATACATTATAATGGTACAAAGATTGGTGCTTGTTCTCTTTTAAAAATATCTGTGTTAAGCTACTCAGCACTTCAGCGCATGCAAGAATTGCAGTCTTCAAAAATGAATGCCAGCTGTATATGTAGATGTTTGCTGTCTACCTTTGGGGAGCATTCCACCCAACTTAAATTTTTTAGACTTTCAGATTTTTAAATCAGTATAAGATTATCTTCTCACCCCTGGTATTGGCCAATCTCAGAAGTCTTGAATTTCAGTGGACTCAAACAATAAACATACTTCTTTAGGACTAGTTATGTTGGATGGAAAGCACACTCTTCGGAGTGTTTTTACATTCTCTCTTATCAATGAGAAATGTGCATAACCACACGAGTGCCACTTGAGGTCTCCAAAAGGACTATTCAAGTTTGCAATATATTCCTCTTCACCCTCCCCTTGTAACTTAAGGCTAAAATCCTTTTTGTAAATGGATGTCTAAATAAAGATGCAATGTTTGTTATGCTGTTAGTGAGAATTTGCGTGTTTAGAGGGAAGCAACAAATGGACTAATCCAAACATATTTGTATCACACATGGGTATGAAATACAAACATTCTCTGACCAAAAATATTTGCTGAAATCTGCCATACATTTTGACTAACTCAGTACTGTGCAGGTTCAAAATTCATTTGAAAAATAAAATGGTCTTTTTCAGCCTCTAACGCCCAACTTAAAAAAAAATAACAGAAAAAAAGCTCTCCTACCATAATTTTTTATGCGCTTATACTTGAATTTATTCTTTCAGGGTACACAATATGCTGTTCAACTGCTCTCTGGAGAAGGTTACTAATACATAGGTTTGATGTTACCAAGGACCTCATCTTCCCAGTTGGGCAGGCAGCAGAAGAAGAAAGCACAGCCAATTACAACTATAGTGCTAGCCCAACCAAAACCGTAGGCCCAGCTGAACACGTTAAATCCAGTCAGATTTTGAAAGGTGTTTATGAACATCACAGGATAGATAACCAATCCAATAATCTGGAATGCAGCTAAAAGGAAAGAAGAACAGAGTGAGAACAAGCAATAATTCATCTCATCACATTTTCTGCTATGAAGTTGTTTGCAGATTAATATGTTCCTTTCTGGGGCTGCAAACAGATGATGCCTTTGTGCAGCCATAAAAAATTAATGGATAGGCCAAACACACAGTCATCCATGCCCCATGTCAAATGACAAATGCCCCAAACTCAGGCCACAACAATAGATGGGAAATATTTGGGCTGCTTTCTTTGCAGTGGATATATTTTTGTTTTAAAACAGGAGATTGCAGGCAGCCCAGAGCTGCCTGTGTTCTCCAGATGCCCCAGGCAGATGCTCCCAAGGCTTCAGGGAATTCCCCAGGCATGCATATCATGCTACTGAGCCCCAACTTGGGGTGCACCTCTGCTAATGAGAGAAACCCAGCTTCCCTTGTTTGCAGAGGCATGGCCCAAGAAACCCACAGCAGGGAATTCCCCAAATATGCATATTTGCTACTATGCCCTGGCATGCGGCATGCATCTGCAAGTGGAGAAAACTGGGGTTTCAGGAAGCCTCAGGAGCAATAGGGGCCTGACCCTGTGGGACAACAGGTGACCTCTCCATCACCCAATGAAGTAGATCAGTTGTCTATAACCTCAGGTAATTAGGGATTTACCCAATTTCAGGGACCTAATCAATGGAGGTATCCCTCTAAATTTTTACAGGAGTCCATTGATTTCAATGGAATTACAGGCAGATATTAGGATCTACCTATATACATCTTATTGCAGGATTAGGCCCTTATTCACAAAGTCATGCAGACTGACCTCAAAAGGGCATTCTGGGGTACAGAGTAGCTAAAGAATGAATCCTTTACCTACACATAAAGAGAGTAAAATTCGCTAGGTTTTACATTCCAGTACAAAAATTGGGCCATTGGGTCAGTAACCTGTATTGCTCTGTCATGAAGTATAAGAAGTATTTGCATAGGATGTTTGCAAAAACCTTAGTTTTCTCAAGGATTCAAGTGTCCTTAACTGCTGTCCTTTTACTATTTTAATTAAGAATTACTATACACATAAAGCAATGTGTTCATACTTGTAAAAATAAATTGTGAAGACTGTTTACATAGTTGGGCCTTTTTTATCAATATTATTATTTATTTAAAGGTGAGAGAATTTAGTTCAGCTAGCATGTGTCAGATGTGAAACAATCAGTTTAAAAGGCAACCTTACCAACAACAAAGAGCAATCCTCCAATTCCTCGCACAAAGTTAAAACGAAGTATATCGACAGAGAAGGCTATGATTGCAAGGGCAAAACAGATGACCAGGATCACAAAGCCAACTAGGTATGTAGCAGCGGCAGCTCTTCCCCAGGCTTGGAAAGAAAACAAAAGGGAAGAGGAAAATGTTATACAAAACACGATGGTTTATGTCATTAAGGTCTTTTCTTCCTTTTATTATATCATTTGGAAGATTCCCTTAAAATCAGTCAATATTACTTTAAATTAAAGTATATCTGCCCAGCAGAAAGCATGTAATGTAGAGCTACCTGAGCTAGTTTGACACCCAGGCAGAAGTATAGCATCAGTAACAGTGAACTCCACTACACTATTTTAGAACCCTAAATGTATGAACAGAGTATGTACCCTTGGAGACCACTGTTTAGTCCTACTTACTAAAACCACAAAAAGGAACCTTTAAGAAGTGGTAACTTGGACAAATAACTAGGTAAGAATATAAAAGCATTGCTCAGGCAAGCAGGGATGAAGTGAGGAAGGCCAAAGCACAATTGGAGTTGCAGCTAGCAAGGGATATGAAGGGTAACAAGAAGGGTTTCTATAAGTATGTCAGCAGCAAGAAAAGGATCAGGGAAAGTGAGTCCCTTACTGAATCAGGGAGACAACCTTGTGACAGAGAATGCAGAAAAGGCTGAAGTGCTCAATGCCTATTTTGCCTCAGTCTTCACAGGCAAGGTCAGCTCCCAGACTACTGCACTAGGCAGCACAGTTTGGGGGGATGAGGTGAGGAGCCCTTAGTGGTGAAAGAACAGGTTAGGGACTATTCAGAAAAGCTGGACATGTAGAAATCCATGGGGCCGGATGGGACGCACCTGAGGGTGCTAAGGCAGTTTGATGATGTGATTGCAGAGCCACTGGCCATCATCCTTGAAAACTCATGGCAATCAGGAAAGGTCCCGGATGATTGGAAAAGGGCAAACATATTGCCCATATTTAAGAAAGGGGAAAAGGAGAATCCAGGGAACTACAGACCAATCAGCCTCACCTCAGTCCCCGGAAAAATCATGGAGCCATTCCTCAGGGAATCCATCCTGAAGCACTTGGAGAAGAAAGTGATTAGGAACAGTCAGCATGGATTCACCAGGGGCAAGTCATGCCTGAACAACCTGATTGCCTTCTATGACAAGATGACTGGCTCTTGGCTCAGGGAGGTCAGTAGCTGTAGTTTAGCCTTGATTTTAGCAAGGCTTTTGATATGGTCTCCCACAACATTCTTGCAGGAAAGCTAAGGAAGTACAGGTTAGATGAATGGACTGTAAGGTGGATGGAAAACTGCCTGAAGCATCGGGCTGAGAGGGTAATGGCTTGATGTCTAGTTGGAAGCCAGTATTAAGTGGAGTGCCCCAGGGTCTGGTTTTGTTCAATGTCTCCATCAATAACCTGGAAGATGCCATAGGGTGCACCCTCGGCAAGTTTGTAGATGATACCAAGCTGGGAAGAGTAGTAGATATGCTGGAGGGTAGGGCTAGGATTCAGAGTGACCTAGACAAATTGGAGGGTTGGTTCAAGAGAAATCTCATGAGGTTCAATAAGAACTTGACAGAACAATCCCATGCTCCAGCAGGCGTGGCTGGTAAACTCAGACTTGCTGGGTGA